TGGCCCCAACCAGAACGAGGCCGACCCGAAGTTCTATGACGGCTCTGAATACTTACTAAATTTTGGAGATGAGCAAGAACTTCTTGTGCAAGAAAATCCTGGCGAGGTACATTTGTTAATAATCTTGCATCTCTTATATATATATGATGAAATTAAACATAATTCCATTATTTCATATATATATGCATTACTGAATCTTTGTGTTTCTACGTACGTAGCCCTCTAGATCGACGACGTCGATGAAAAGTAAAAGTGTACGAGGCCCAACAAATCCGTTACAGGGCCACCACATAATCATAGAAGTCGATCCTAATACTGGTGAACCGCTCCTGCCAACAAAGAATGCAAAGAAATTTGTAAACCACTATGGGGTTCTTGTTAGAGAAAGGCTCCCAATCAACGCCCATGAATGGAAAATGAAGAAGGAATCTCCTGAGATCAGTTTTGTCTCTAAGCGAGACAAAGATGTTCTTTGGGATTCAGTCACTGCACATTTCCATCTACCAGGAGGTGAAGATATAAAAAAAACTAGTTAAAAGTTGGGCTCTCAAGAAGATGGTCACACAATTCTAGACCTGAAAGAAGCTGTACAATGAATTTGTGAAGAAGAATCTGACTCCAGATTTCAGTGATAATAGCCGTACAAAAAGTTGAGAGACGACTGGCCTGAATTTGTAAGGTACAAGACCTTGGAAGAGGCTGAGGCATGGGTGAGAAGGAACCAATAGAATACACGATAAAAGGTATACAATCATAAAACGGGATCAGGTGGCTGCAGGAGTGGCATTCCCAGGTGGCAAAGAATGGAAGCAGACCTGCTTTCCAAAGGGATCCATCCATTTTTAATCGATTGGCCTGAACGCTCCAAGAATTGATTTTTCTCACATGGGGGATCACTGGACCCAGAGACCGGGGAGCCGGTTATTGGTGGGCAAATCAAAACAACAGCATAAAGACTTTTCGATATTATAGATGCTTTTGCCAGTGGTGCCTTTGTGCCCAACCGAGAGAAGGATGAGCTGACGTACGCCCTCTAGACTCCTGAACACCCTTGGCGAACATGAGGCAAAGGGTTGATTTCGTGGTGGCATGGCTTCCCTGAGGACGCCGCTACCTACAAAAGCCGCTAGCGAAGGAAGGACGAGGAGTAGAGCGGGTCCGCAGGTTAGAGTTGGCAGTGTTTCGATCGCAGGAGCGAGAACTAAACATGGAGGTGAGAATGCAAGAGGAAATCAAACGGAAAGTGGCACTATAGTTGAGTAGCCAAAGGCAGTCAACATCAGAGCATGGAGTTAACGTTAGCCCCCCTCAGCTAAGAAGCAGCTGCGCTTCCACCAAGCTCCCAAATCAAGATGACGCATTGCAGCACTTCCCCGTGGATGACATCACTATGCCTTTGATGCCATGTGAGCTGCACATTCCCATGGGGAATAGCACACTCGTGGTGGCGCACGGTATTGTTTCTCCTGTGGCCCCTGACAAGACACCAAGAAGCCATGGGAATCCAATTCCTCCTAGATATTATAGTGTCTCGGTGGATAGAGTTATCAAAGAATATAGGGAAGTGGCTCTTGACTTTCGTAGAGGTGATGGGGAGAAGACCCTAGGACAAGCAGAGCATTCATTCGTTATATGGTGCAAGCGCTACATCATTATTCCCGGTGCAGCGGCTAGGGTACCGTCGCCTCCTCCTCAACTACCTCATGATAAGTGCAGATGAAAGTGAACGAAACAGTTTTTTAATAATCATTCTCAATTATTTGCTTCCCGCGTATAACCATTTACTCACAATCATTTTTGTACTCACAGGTCTCCCAACCTGAGTCCAGTTCTTCCATCCCATGATGATCATTATAGTGCTATGGATGATGATGATGCTCTGGACGATGATGATGTGTTCCATGGCACGGCTGCATCTCCATCTCCATCTCCTCCAAGGCGGTCTCCCCCTCCTCCTCCTCTTGTGCCGCAGAGGCGCCATAAGAGTCCCCTGCCCCCGGTGAAGTCCCCGTTGGAGAAGAAAGCCATCCGTCGTAAAACAAAGTCCCCAGAGAAGCTACCTTACGAGAAGTCTGAAGAGGAATCAAAAGCGGCGGCACAAAAATATTTGGATAACTTGCGGCAAAGTGGAGCAGAATCAATAGCAAAGAAGAAGGAACTTATGAAAAACCCACCAAAGCCGCACTACATAGCTCAACGAGAACTAAGGAAAAGAGTCAGTGAAGTGGAGAAAAAGCGGCGTGAGGCATGTAAGCCCCCGCCATTATCGGACTATGAATGCTCTCTTGACAAGTCATATAAGGCGTCGTTGAAAGCAAAGAGAGCAGGGAAAGATGTTGCATAGCTCGAGCAGCAATCTAAGCAATCTATCGACCTGCTTGTTGTTGACGATGATTGTACAAACGCACAAGGCGGTCCAATCGATAGGGAGGCACTCCAAGATTTCATGGACACAACAGGTCTCGCACCTCAACAACTCATTGGGGGAGGATCGATACCAACAACCAAATTTGATATTTACCAGACATATGTGTATGGTAGGAGTATTGTCAACCCTAAGTCCTATTCATCACTGGGTACGCAAATGTTCTTGTTAAATAAGTGGTACTTAAATGCGTGTGCGAAGGAAGGGGCATGGCTTCTTGCCAGAGTTAGACCAGAGCATTACTTCACTGGCTATGACATTGTACATATTGAGTTCAATGAATTACACCAACTATTAAACCGGGACGCTCTCGACCAATCTCTCCTCAGCTGCTGGTGTTTGTAAGTGATTCTTTCTACAATTGAAAGTAACTTGCATGTTAGTTCATTGTCTATATATATAGTTATTCTCACTATATATATATATATATATATTCTTTTGTACTATATAAATGCAGATATGAGATGCTGAAACTAAAGAAAAAAGTTAATGGATGTTGGTTTTATGGATCCGAATCGCACATTCAGAGACATGGTTACTCCATATGATAGATGGTGAACTCAAGTGGAGAAGAATCTATTTAGGTTCTTAGATAAGCAACATGACAAGACACTGATACTCTTTCCTTACAACTTCAAGTGAGTGTTAATGTCTCATTTTATTTTGCTTACTCCATGTTGACTTTAGTTAATGAGTTATGCCTGTGTATAAACATGTAACTTTCACTAGGTACTGCTGATCATCGATATGCCCAGGAGTCTTGTAAAGATCTTTGACTCAGCGACAAAACCCCGAAAAGATTACTAAAAAATGATAGATATTCTCCAGTGGCAATTTTGGTATCGCACACCGTATACTCTCTTATGCCATTTTATTGATATAGCTCCATTTATTTATTTTGTTGGGCAGTGCTTGGAAAAAGTTCGCCCAGAAACACCATTATGGTCATTGGAAAGTGCTTCTAGATATAGTCCAATACCCAGTAAGTACTAGCTAGGTCACCGCATCTTTATTTAGTTCAGTTCATTATTACCTTGCTTCATTGGTTGATGATGAATCTTTTTCTTGTAAAGTGGTGTCTGCATGTGGATATTACATCTGTGAGTTCCTCATGGAATACTCAAGGAGAACTCTAGAAGAGATCCTCGAAGTATATACACAATTTAATACCATTGTGTTGATACATATAATCATATATATATTCATACTTTTCCTTTCATTCGAATTGAAGGTTGAATAGAGGAAGCAAAAGGTTCTGCGATGTGACCAGATCAAAACAATTAAAGAGGCATTGTCAGGATTTCTTATGGATTGGGTCATAGATCCCAAAGACGCGTACTACTATGACCCTAAAGAATTATTACCTAGTAGCCATACGACTGAAGATTCGGGTTGAATGACATCCCAAGGACATGAGTACAATGTTTTTGTGACTTTATTATGTACATATTCCATGCACGTACAACCTCTTGAAATATTTGTATATATAGTTTCATACATTTATGTGTGTTATTTATGTATACTGCTCGAACGGAACCTTACACGTATGTATTTATGGATGTATATTAGCAGCATAGAATTCGTATACGAAAAGCTAATCGAAACAAAAAAGAATTGAATTAAAAAGAAACCATAAAATGAAAAGGAAAGAAATAAAAAAAGGAACCTTTAGTCCCCGTTGGAAACATCAATCGGGACTAAACGTGCCAGCCCCGGGGCAAGGTCTGAGGGACCATTTAGTCCTGGTTGGTAAAAGCAACCAGGGCTAAAGGTCTAGTTTGAGCCCCGGTTCCCAGAACGGGACTAAAAGGGGGGCCTTTAGTTCTGGATTCGCAATCCCGGTTGAGAAACCGGGACTAAAGGAGGTTTTCCAACTAGGACGGATGCTCAGTCCTGCACTAGTGGGCGGTAAGAGATGGATCCAACGGTCCTTAACATTGTCGAGTCAACCGAAAACCCTACAATGATATCATTATGACGCTGCTGAATCAAGCCGCAACAAGGTATTAGCATGTCAATGCCAGCTAGTGGCCTAAACCGGTAGCAATATCCCAACTAGAACTGTAGGTTGGTGGCCTAAACTGGAAGTAATATCCCAACTAGAACACAGTCGGTTGGTGGATGTAATTAACCGGGACATTGTCGGGTTATGCCTCCACTCGTAACAGTGATAAGTGTCTTAAGTGTTGGGTCTGTCGAATCCACAATCATTAATCGGATCCTAGCCTAACGAGCCATTAGTGAAGATGGATCACTGTCGGCTCCAACATACCCAACAGTCATGTGCCGTTAGGCCGGGATTGCCTGTTCTGTAGCAGTGAACCAATCATTTAGCATTTAGCATTCGCAGAGAGACACTTCCTACGGACGTAGTGATGATACAAAAAACAATATTGTTGTGTATATAATGTCACTGCTAAACTAGAGGTACAGGCTCAACAGACTATCATTATTGGTGTTATTATTAGACTACGAATGAACACACACACGACCGACTGCAATAGAAGCAAGCAGCATGCACACTAGCTAGACCAGAGCAACATAACAATGGATATGGAAATAAACAACAAATAAATCAATATGGCTTCCGGATCCCACCCAGGCATCGTACCTTTCTTGCCCTGGTATTCTTGTTACCGCTTTTGGTCGTCCAGATCGTCGTCCCCTTGTTCTTTGTCTGGCATCTGAAGCTTGTCTGCCAAGGTCTTGGCCCCCCTGGAGCGAGATGAGGAGCCAGACGTAGGAGAGGAACTCCCCGCCTTCTCCCAAGCTCTTGGCGTGCAGGTAGCCCCTGCACATGCTGGAGGAGTAGTCCCACCCACACTAGGTGCATCAAATGCCAACGGTCATTTTCGTCCTCGATGTCGAGCAGCTCCTTTGCGAGGTTGCAAGCGTCGTCGATGACGCTATATGCCTCTTTTTCTTTGAGGCTGGCTGCTTTTTCCTTGATCTTGTCCAGGAGGATTTCATCGGAGAGTGGTTGCTTTTGCTTCTTCTTCTTTTCTGTCATTTCTTTGCTGGCCTGGGTGATGATGCGATCCATCTGCTTGGTGGCTTCAGTGAACAGATCCCGCCTGCTGCCGGTCATCAGCATGTCGGGTCTAAACATGAGGAGGTAGGCCATGTAGTTGGATATTGCCTCTGTGCACACCTCACGAAGCACATCGCCATGCGGAGGCCTGCACCTAAAGTGCCTCGGAGGCTTGCTGCGGAAGCAGAGGTCGGTGGCGATGTGCCAGATGAGTACGCTTGCGTCGAATGGCATCTTACGAAGGCTTCGCCATATCACCACGTTGGACATCTTCAGCGGATCTTCAGTCGCCGAAGAAATATCAATGTTGGCCACCTTCTTCGGCTGATCCATCTTCTTGGAGTAATAGTTCGTCTTGAGCAGCCTCTCCGGTTGGTCCATATCCCAGTAGTCCGTCTTGGTGAAGCTTCTGTAACTGGAGAGGTCAGCGTTTTTACTTTTTCTGAAAACCTTCACCAATTGATAGGTGATAGCATCCGAGACCGTGCGGTACAGGCTACTACGATCGCTAGCTTCCTCCGGCCTGTAACCAAACCGCCAGGCATAGTTGAGGAGCGACCCGGTGACTGGACGTCTCGCCGTCCGGAGAACCGTGTCGATGAGGTTATGCCCTGGAAGGTTCTCGCACAATGCTGCGAGTTTTGTTCTGGACATGAGCTCACTGATGAGCAGCCCAAAGACATCCAGCACCGCGGTGAAGCACAGGAGGATGTACGTCGTCTTCACGTCAGTGGCGCCGTACCCATGCTTGCGGCTCGCCGCGAAGAGCATGATGGCGGCGATGTACAGCGACGGGACCAGCATCACGTGGCAGACCAGGTAGGCCGGTGTGAAGATCACGTTCGCTCTGGTGTAGATGAGCCCGAACGCCTGACGAAGCATGGGCTTGAGCGTCTCGTCTTTCTCTAACTTAGGCTCCAGGATCTTCTTATCGTGATCACCACCACCACCACCCTCACCCTTGCTCCGTGCCTGCAGGGTGACCTCGGCAGCGAACAGCGACAGGTCCGAGAGGATCATCTGGACCTGGTCGCCCTGCGACAGGATCGGCACATCGTCTTCCGGCAGCTTTGTCCAGCACTTGTACCTGTCGCCGAGCTCGGTGAAGCACCAGTCCCACCCGCCGGGGCTCTCCCTCTTCCCTTTCATCACGGACCACATGTCCACCAGCCGCTTGATGCTGGCCCTCCGCAGAGCCCACGGCTTCTCAATGAAGCTGATGATGCCGATGACGAACAGCAGGATTGCCGACAGCAGCGGTTTCCGGTCGCTCGAGTCCGGCCACGACTTGTAGAAGGAGTACACGGCGACCGTGACCTGGGACACCATGGTCACGGTATGCCGCGTCCACAGCTCGTTGTCTTCGATGGTGTAGGCGGTGATCTCCTCCCGTCCACCTAGGTAGACGAGGATGAGAGGCGCCCACAGGACCTCAGGGAGCTAACTTTGTTCCCGTAGTCACAGCAGCTGCAGCTGCTGCTGATGCTGCTCGCCTTGGAATGGCGATTGAAGAGGGTGGTGAGCGCGTAGATCGCCAGAGCATCGGCGCTCAGGTACGCCACCCAGATGGAGAATCTGAACAAGCGAGGGATTGTGTAGTTGCGCATGGGGGCTGCCAGCAGCAGGAACCACTGGAGACCCAGGCTGCCGAGGACGAGGATGCGCAGCTGCCACTCGTCCCACCATTGCACAGCTCTCAAGACGTCAATCATGTTTCTCGGATCTACCCAAGTAGCAGCTTAATTGTTAGCTCTTGATGTGTCTATGTCTAGTTTTGAGAGTGTCACTACCACCACTCAAGTCTGTCTTTTCTTTTTTGGTGTTTGTGTATCACTGCCCCTGATCACCTATACCGATCACTAGTGTCACTACTGGAAACAGTAGAATTGCCGAGTGCCTGAGGGTTTGCCGAGTGCATTCCATCGGGCACTCGGCAAACATCCTATTTACCGAGTGTTTTTAATTAAACACTCGGCAAACATATAGCACTCGGCAAAACCCAACTTTACCGAGTGTCTAATAAAAAACACTCGGCAAACTACAACGAAACACTCGGCAAACACGGACACTCGGCAAAGTAGAGGCATGTGCACTGGGCGTGCGGCGTCCATGTGACGGCCGTTGGGTGCGCCGCCCTGCCGTTATAACTTTACCGAGTGTCCGTTAGAGACACTCGGCAAAGATAAGGTTTGCCGAGTGTTTTTTATTAACACTCGGCAAACTAATATTTTTGCCGAGTGTTTTTTTTTTGACACTCGACAAAATGATGTTTTTGCCGAGTGTTTTTATGGGCACTCGGCAAAATAATAATTTTTTTCCTCTCCTACCCTCCAAACTTTTTCTACTCTCCACATACAACATGTGGTACTACATGTTAAAATTTGGCATATTTCTCGATCTGTTTGCTATATTTAATTAATTTATTGCATTTAGAGGATTTTTTTTGTTTAAGTCAAATTTGAACTGCAAGTGATTCAAATAATAAAATAAATTGAGTGGAGAAGTCATATTCATGTTATTTTGTCCATTTTGGGGCCTTACTCGGGAAATGAAAAGAATTTTCGAACATTTTGTTCAGGAAACATGACCACAAACTTGTGGCCGAATGTTTTTTAAATTCTAAAAAAAGCAATCGAAGTCTAAAAATGATGAGATTTGTCAAAATCTCATGATATCATATATGGAGACTATGGAAAAAAATTGAGAATGTTTCGCACAATTTGTCACGTACGACCTTTACAAACCGAGAATCATAGCGTTGAGAAGAATTTTGTAAGATTTGGAGTCAAAGTGACGGTCAAATTGGGGTTTGACTTCAAAACTTTTTGTATTGGCAATAGACAACATAGATTGGTTCACGTCAAATTTTGGTAAATTTTTGGATCCGTTTGATAATTTTAATTTACTAACCACAATTATAGAATTTTAATTGATATATATTGAATTTGAGCTATAACTGCATGAAATAATGGATTAATATTTGTAGAAAAATCAAATATGCATTGTTGAGTGAATTTGACAAGGTATTTTTAAATTACATCGTAACAAATTTAGTAAAACACGTTATGAAGAAGGAGGATGGGTGGGCATGAAATATCAATTTATTTTGCCGAGTGTTAACTGTACGACACTCGGCAAACAATATAGTTGCCGAGTGTCATATAGTGGACACTCGGCAACATACCCAAGCCGGCCCCACTTACCAGTACCGTACCGGTTGAGAAATTAAAAAAAACAATGCCGAGTGTTTTGGATCTGGCACTCGGCATACCTTTACTTTGCCGAGTGCCAAATCGCGGGCACTCGGCAAAGCCATTTGGTTTTTACCTGATCCGGCCGCACACTTACTCACACACACACTCACCCGCACACACACGCACACCGGACCGCCCTCCACGCCGCCGGACCACCCTCGACCGTCGTACCACCCTCGGCCGCCGGGCCGCCACCCCGCGCAGCTGAGCCGCCACCCTCCGCCACCGGATGGCCGCCCCCTGCTGCCGGGCCCCCGCCTTCCCGTGCCGCCGCCGGCGGCTCCCGCCTTCCCGGCGAGCCGGCGCGACTCCCGGCCCCCGGCGCGAAGCCCCTCCTGCCGCCGCACGGCGGCCCGGCCACCCGGTGCCCCTGCCTCCCAGCAACCGGTGAGCCCTTCCTCTCCGATTTGGTCCATGCTGATCGCTTCTCACGCCTTGGGTCCATTTGGTCCACTCCGTTTGGGTCCGGCGGCTGTCAATTTGATCTCTCCGCTGGAATGGATCCATCGGCGGCTGTCAATTTGAACTGGATTCAAGTGTTGTATGCTGTTGTTTTTATGTATGATTTCCATTTCAATGGTGCCTATCTGACGAACTTGTATTGGCAGTAAATCTTTTCTTGATGTGTCTATGTAGATTGTTTGTGGCTGCACACTTGTAGGATTTGTGTCTAGTTCTGCAGTGCTCAAAAAGCGCAATTTCTGCCATTGTTGTCTGAACTTGAATGCAGTGTTGGCACCTTTTTCCTGGAAACGAATCGCTACTGTGTTAGCCTTAGCCTGAACTCGATCTGTGTGATGCACTTGGTGCGTGCTGTAGTTCTAGTTTATGTTCCATGTCTGAGCAGTGTGCCATGTATTGGGATTTACACATCCCCATGACCATGTATGAAGTGATATAAAAAAACTATTTGCAGTTATACTTGTGATTCTTTATTGTTTGCTATATAATAAATTGGATCAATACGGCTGTCGTTGTGCCTGCTTGTCTCCAAATTCCAGAATAACAAAGCAACGCAAACGTATCAGTTCTTATAAGCCATGGCCCGTGGCCCTTTACAGGCCTCAATGTATATCTTTTTATAGAGGGAATTAGGTGTCCCAACTCCTAATTATAACATCGCCTAGACTTGCCTAGTTTCAGCACATAAAAACAATCTCTTTGACTTTCAACGATATGTTTCTTTTTCCACATTTGAGATATGAAAATTTGGACTTCCGTTGTACAAAGCTGCAAATATTTACATATTGTAACTGATCTGCAGAGTAGCTTTAGATAACAGCATTTGATTACACTCCTTATCATATGAGTCCCACACAAAGTTGATAATAAAACTCTAGGGTTTTTCTAAACACTTCTTGCTTGAATCTTACAACCACATATCAACTTGCAGGTTTTTGCCGCCGTTCCCTGCCCCGCCCTGCCGCCTGGTTCCGCCGTGCCCTCCCGCCCCCCACAACTTGCCGTCGTTTTGCAAGGTATAAGATGTGTATGTGGTTATCGTCCATCGTGCCGTTTGTTGCCGAGTGTATGTGGTTGTCGGCCATCATGCCGTTTTATTTGTTGCAGATTTTGGAAACCTCCCCGTGCAGGGGAGGTGCTGCCGAAATTTAGATTTGACACTATTATGTTCCTTTTATTGCAGGAGAGGCTATTGCAACGTCCTCGACTCTTCACTTTGCAGGACAGCAAGGTGAGGCATAAAAGACCCTTCTTTCCATATCATGTTCGTATATCACGTAACCTAGCTAGGCGTCTCCCGTTCGAAAGAGATACGGTTGGAAATATGCGGATCTTTGCATATCTATGACAATATCTGTTTCGAATTGTCCATGTTTTTTGGACAGCCCAAGGATGTGTGGATGCGGTTAGTTTCCATGCTCTACTCCGATTCGTGATAGAGTTCGGCAGCATCTCCCTGTTGTTCTCCGGATACACAATCTCCATTCCAGGACGTGTATTTGAAGAACAACGGGGAGGTGCTGCCGAAATTCTATCTCGGATAGGAGTAGAGCATGGAAACTAACCCCATCTATACATCCTCGGGTGGGATTAGGACCTATCTTCACTTATTAGATAGTATAGGAACGTGTAGATGCAATGTGATTTTTTATATTACTCGCTGATATGCTAGAGGATGGATGACCGTGAATGGATGTACACGGACCGCTCTAGTCAGACTTCGTTGACCGAAGAATGGATTGATAAGACCAATGCTTTCTTGGAACGGGCATTTGCAAGGGTTAAAGGAGCTAGTGTCACTTGGTGTCCGTGCAGCAAATGTGCAAACACGCGTCGGCAAACCAAGTTGGTCATGGGTAAACATCTTTGGAAGAATGGATTTACGGTAGACTATACCAGGTGGATCTACCATGGTGAAGCCGATCGTGGGAGAGACGAGGTCATGAGACAACGCATCGAGGAATATGATGGGGATGTCGGGGTAGGAGACATGTTAAATGACTGTCATAAAGCACACTTCGATCAAGGACATAGGGAGGAGGAGCCAGAGGCTACCGCAAAGGCGTATTACGACATGTTGTCTGTGGCACAGCAACCCCTTCACGGGCATTCCAAGGTTTCTCAACTAGATGCCATTGCACGCCTAATGGCCATGAAGTCCCAGTTTAGCTTGAGTCGAGACGCCTTCGATGTTATGCTCACAGTTGTTGGCAGCCTACTCCCGGATGGTCACATCTTGCCAAAGAACATGTATGAGGCACAGAAACTCCTTCGTGCACTTAAGATGCCATACGAGCAGATATATGCTTGTCCGAAGGGATGCATCTTATTTAGGAAAGAGTATGCAGAAGAAAAGTACTGTGTGAAGTGCGAATCATCTAGACTCCTAGAGGTAGACTCTGGTGATGGTCAGAAGAGGCAGCTCGCAATCCCCGTGAAGATCCTACGGTACCTCCCTTTCATACCGAGGATCCAACGGCTTTACATGACTGAGGAATCCGCGAAACAGATGACATAGTACAAAAACAGGCGTCGATACAATCCTGAGAAGATGGTACCCCATCCAATGGTGAAGCCTAGACAAGGTTTGATGTGATTCATCATGAGAGCTCTAGAGGCTCATAATGTACGTGTTGCACTGGCAACAGATGGGTTCAATCCATATGGAATGGCGGCTGCCCCGTACACCTGTTGGCCCATGTTCATTATCCCCCTCAATCTTCCCCCTGGCGTCCTCTTTCAATGACAGAATATATTCTTGTTGTTGATAATTCCAGAACACCTAGGGAATAATATGAGTGTGTACATGGAGCCTCTGATTGATGATTTGGTCCATGCTTGGGAGGAAGGGGTATGGACATATGACCGAGCTACAAAGACAAACTTCAAAATGCATGTTTGGTACCAGTACTCCCTGCATGACTTGCCGGCATATGGGATTTTCTGCTGCTGGTGTGTTCACGGGAGGTTCCCATGCCCGGTATGCAAGGCTTCTCTGATGTTCATTTGGTTGACGAAGGGTGGCAAATATTCTTCATTCGACAAACATCGACAATTCCTCCCACCTGACCATCCATTCAGACTAGACATCAAGAACTTTATCAAAGATGACGTAGTTAAAGACCCTGCACCGCAGATGATGATAGGAGCCGCGGTTCGTGCTCAGTTAGACGCTCTTGAGGTCAATAAACAAGAAGGTGGTTTTGTGGGATATGGCGAGCAACATGCCTAGACTCAGAAGTCGTGCTGGTGGAACCTCCCCTATTTTGATGATCTTCTTCTTCCACATAACATTGATGTAATGCACGCTGAAAAGAATATCGCCGAGGCAATTTTTTGTACAATCATGGACATTCCTGATAAGACAAAGGATAACGTTAAGGCTAAAGTGGATCAAGCGAGGTTATGCGACAGACCAAAGCTAAACATGGCACCTCCCAGAGCTGGCAAGTCATGGAGAAAGCCTAAGGCCAATTTTGTCCTGACGAGGGCCCAAAGGAGGGAGGTACTAGAATGGTTCCAAACGTTAATGTTCCCTGATGGGTATGCAGCGAATCTAAAGAGGGGAGTGAACTTAGCTACTATGCGAATCAACGGGCTCAAGAGTCATGATTACCACATATGGCTTGAGCGCCTACTTCCGGTGATGGTTTGAGGCTATGTCCCTGAGCATGTCTGGCAGGTGCTAGCGGAGTTGAGCAATTTCTTCCACCAGCTATGTGCCAAGGAGTTATCTCGTACCGTGGTTGTAGAAATGGAAAGAATGGCGCATGTGTTGCTCTGTAAGTTGGAGACGATTTTTCCACCTGACTTCTTCAATCCGATGCAGCATATGATTCTGCACCTCCCATATGAAGCACGAATGGGGGGGGCTATGTAGGGCCGTTGGTGCTATTCAATTGAGAGATGTCAAAAGGTTCTTTGAACTAAATGTAAAAATAAATGCAAAATTGAAGCATCCATTGCAGAGGCATACATTCTAGAGGAGGTGTCAAACTTCACAACAAAATACTATGCTGACAACCTTCCTAGCGTGCATAATCCACCCCCATTGCAGAAATATACAAACTCATGTTTCATGGTTGCAAACCTCTTAATCCAGTCATATTCAAATCCCATTGGTTTGATCCATCAGTAGTGAGACAGACCCCTAATCTTGGGCTAGTCGAAATTCGACAATCATCCGTCTTACCAGGAGACGATGTCTATATTGTGGCTCAACAGGCCACGCAAGTTTATTATCTCTCATACCTGTGCCAAACCGACGACCGTCTTAAGGGTTGGGATGTTGTGTACAAGGTATCGCCACATGGTAAACTACCTGTACCAAACAATGAAGATTACAACATTGACCCCAACACATATGACGGAGAGTTCTTCCAAGAAGATGGGCTCGAAGGGAGTTTTGAGGTAGACTTAATAGAAGCGATCGGAATGGAAGTAGACAATGAAAGGGTTGCTGACGAGGATGCTGGAGATGAGGTTCAGAATGTGAAGGACTTAGAATTACTTCAGCGATTACATTTAGGCAATGACAGTGATGATGACATTCCTGATCATGATGATTATATCGACACGTGTGATAGTGATGATGAGACTTATGATCCAGCTAATCCTGATCATGATGATTATTTCTAATACATGTATGAGCCGTACTAATTTATTTATTATTTGTCATATCTTTCTAAGTATGTTTTGTTTATCTGTGCTGATTGGTTTACTCTTTTTAATTGCAGGTGATTGAACAATGGTGGGCGGTATGAGGAAGATCGCGGCGCTTTACGGAAAGATCGGAGCTTCAGGGTCAGCTTCAGGGAGGGGTCGTGGCAAGGGTGGAGGGAAGGGTAAACAGAAGGGTAAAGGGAAGGGTAAAGGGGCGAGGTCCCCGTCGCCTATAGCTCCCTCATCGTCGTCTGAGGAGGTACCTTCCGCGCACACCTCTGGTGACGAGGAGGAGGTACAAGAGGAGCAGGAGCAGGTGGA